TGTCCTGTCGTTAAAGAGGCTTCAGCTAGATCATTCTTATTCCATAACTGCAGGCTACGGGGGAGCCACCCCCTCTCCTCCAGGGCCAGTGTGCCAAGCAAAGCAGCATATTTGACGATAGAAAAATGAAAGCAAATCCCACCTACCTTTGGGGGTTTGGCACGTCCTTGGCATTCAGCCCCTGGTGCGGGGTTGCCTTGTGGCTTTGCTAGCCGTGACACTTGAAATGGAGACTTCGTCTTCCTAATGTGAGCAGTTGGTCAGTCCCAGGTGGCCTCTGAGAATCCAAATGGGAGTTCCGACAAAATCTCTTGGCCCTCCAACCACACTGCTTTTTCCAGTTGTCACTGGAAGCCGTAGCCTTTGTGAGAAGCTGCTGAGGTGGGGGCTGAGCCATTGATTGAGGAGATTCAAGGACCAAGACTTGGAGATGTTCCTTCCTCACAATCTGCCGCCACCCAGGACTGCCCTAGAGAAAGCACTTTGGGTGTGGGTGGTGCAGGGCATTTACAGTAAATGGGGTTCTGTGGGAGAAGAGCTGAAACAGCTAGAGGAAGAGGCCTGGCCACCCAGAGGCCCACTGCTTCTGTTGACTATGGGAAGCCACGCAAGCCTCTTTGCAGCTGCCCCTGTAGGGAGCTCCCAGGCCTGGGGCCCCATGCTGGAAGCAGGCCTCGGTGCCTGCCAGCCCAAGAACCCGGCCAGCCAGACGCCACGGGCCTCCCAGGGGGTGGGCCTCCCACTGTCCTGTTGGCTCACCGCTCTTCACCAATCTCGTGTGGTAGCTGGTGTCTGAGGCCAGCCCTGGTGCGCTCCACCTCCCGGCATGCACACCCTGTGTGGTCCCCTCCCACAGCAAATCTAGGCTGTCCCAGCATAAGCAGCAGAACGTGATGGAAATGGCAGTGTGACTCTCAAGCCTAGGTGATGAGAAGCCTTGCAGCCTCTGCCTTGGTCTCGTGGGATTCTCATGCAAGGACAGCCCCTCTCGGGACTCAGCCACCATGATGTCCAGGGAGGGAGTGCTACACGGAGAAGCCAAGAAGGAGGCGCCTCCCCGTGGACGGTCCCCGCCGACCAGCCTCAACTGCCCACTGTGCGGGAGAAGGCACTCGAACCTCCAGCTGATCCAGGCTGTCTGGCTCCAGCTCCAACCCCAGGCACCATCTGAGCACAACTACAGGAAAGACTGCAAGCAAGAGCCCCGCTGGGCCCAGGCAGCTCCCAGAAGCACGGGAAAGGATGGTCCATTGTTGCTCGGCGCCACGAAGTTTGGAAGTAGCCTGGTACACAGCGGTAGATACGTGGCACGTCATGTGTGGCCACATGACCTGAGTGTGCGACTGGAGCTGGGCAGATTTAGGCTGGTTTTCCCCCTTTGGGTTCTGACTGTAACTGGGGGTGTTCATGCTCAGTTCTCTAGCTTGCCAGGGGGCCCAGTGGGAGGATAGTGGGGGGTGCGGGGGTGACCCAGATGTGGTCTAACTCAAGAGGCTCCAGAGCCTGGCAGGCCCAGAAATGACAGGGGGCAGATTGACGTGAGTACTTGCCGTCATGTTAGGAGAACAAGACAGTCAGAACCTGTTCCTTTCAACAGAATGAGAGCTCTCTAGGTGGAGGCTGGCCTTATTTATGTCTGCATCCCCCACAGCCTAGCCTTTGCCAGGCACATGGAGTCCCTCAGATTTGTTGGGTTAAGAAGACTGGGTCTCCACGACCCTGACGAGCATGTGCGTCAGTCCATGCTCTGTACGGGATGTCACAAGGCACCAGGGAAGTAGGGGCAGACCCTGATCCCTGCCCTGAGAGCCCACAGTCTGATGGGGGAGGGGAGGCTTCTGCCAGGCTTGGTTGTCTGGGTGGGGAGGCGGGGAGTAGTTTTCATGCTCAGCAAGCCCCTGACCCCCTGCAAGGACTCAGGCTAGGAGCAGAGATTAGCTCTTCCTCTTTCCCCTTTTGTATGTTTTCAAAGGAGCTGGGGGCTGGGTGGGCAGGCCTCTTGGTCCTGAGAGATCTTTCGAGAAGCCTTCAGTGCAGGCCAGGCCAAGGCTCCCTGGTGCGGTGGCTACCCTTCCCTGTCACTCAAGTGCCCAGGATGTGGGGATCCGCCCCCCTCAAGAGTGCATGTGCCACAGCCCCTGGCCTCGGAGAGCACTCACAGTTGACACAGCGGGCGGTTGACAGAACCCGCGCCGTGGGTGCTGCCCAAAACAGCACCAGCGAAGACAGAGCAGAATTAAACGGAGCTGCTAGCCCTATTCAGTGAGAGGAAGAGTAGGTGGGTTTGTTTAAAATACTCCTATTACAGTCAGTTAACCTTTATGTTCCCTAAATGAAAACTGTATAAACCTGAAATTTTCGTTGATCAGGTTGCCTAGGAACAGGCAGCAGGTTTTCATAAGACAATGCAGTAGATTGTCACCGATAGGGCCATTAGGAAGTGAGCTGGTTAGCGGTATTATTCCAGATCCCGGTGTTGGCGTCAGGTAATGATCTGTCTGCCTCTGCAGAGCACACCCATCTTCCCAGGCTCAGGCAGGCTCTTGCAAATGAGCTTTCTCAGCCTGCTTCTGAGTCCCAGGGATAGCGTCTAGGAGCAAACTGTCACCCCCGGCTTAGGAGAGAAATCGGAAAGATCCAATTCTCATGAATTTCTTTCTTTTTAATCACCTTTCCCTACTACTGTTTGCAACAGTAATACTCAGAGCAGAAAACTCGGCCAATAAACACCAGTAACAAAATGCATCATGGAAATGAAAGAACAAAGTCACTCTAAAGCGACTTTGGTATGTCTTTTTAAATATTTTTCCCCTGTTTGATATGCATATATACTTATTTTTCCACAGAGTCACTGTAATTTGCTTTTTTCACCCTTACATTTAGGGTGACCAGCCACCCTGGTTTGCCCAGGACTGAGGGTTTCCCAATACCATTGCATGTTACTGTCAGCATGCTTTTCTGAAGCTTCACAGCTTTCAGTAAGCCTGGGTGAGCCAAACCTGGCTAACTAACTCCCTGTTCTTGGACACTTAGGATATTTCCTTTAAAAAAGAAAAATCATAATTAATGCTTGTCACCACAGTAGCCTTATCCATATGTCCGTGCAGGATAAACTCCTGCAAGTAGCATTATTAGGTCAAAGGATGTATACTTGGATGGCTTTTGAAAGTTTTTTGGGTTGCCCTCCCCAAAAATATGCACAGACTCCCACCCTTCCTCCCCGTACTCAGAGATTCTGACATCAAGGAATCCTGTCGTCGTGGTCAATCTGATAGGTGACAGTATGTCTCGTTTGGGGATGTCATACGTGACATGTGATACAAAAGATATGTGTCATTATTAGTCATTTGTGAATTGCTTGTTCATGTCCTTCACCCATTTTCACTTCAGAACGCTCGTCTCTTTTTAACCTATAAAAACTTTGTATTACGCTTATCAGGCATGAACTTTGAGCCGTTTTGTCCATGTTTTTAAAGCATGTGTGGTTGTTCTTTAAAGAGCAAGAGTGAGTAACACCTGTTACCTGGTGTCTCTGAAGGAAGAGTAGTTAATGTTTTAGGTAGTTAAAGCTTCCCTCAAGCCTTAAGCACTAAGCCCCAAAACAGGGCCTGAACTCACGACCCTGAGATCAAGACCTGAGCTGAGATCAGAAGTCGGCCACTTAACCGACTGAGCCACCCGGGGGGCCCCTAACATATTTTTCTTAATTGAAGATTTGAGATGAGAAGATTTGAGAGGTATCCATATCTCCAAAATGGATAGCCCATGTAGGTCCCTTTAAAACAAAGTATAAGGCACACAATTTAACTTCTTCCTATCTCAGACACCCTGGGAATGATAGTAATTTTCCATGTGATAGTGAGACCCTCAGCAGTGGTTGAGCTACGTGGAGTTTTGACTCCTAAACCACGCAGCCCCTTTTTAAATACGGGACCTCATTCTTGCCCTTCCCCCCTCACTATCTGACTGTCATGCTGATTCTTTTTGCAACCATAAGCACCCCTGCCCTGCCTCACAGCATGCTGTGTCCATCAGCGATGGGGCGGATTACCAGCTAATGCTGCATGTTAGGTTTATCTGTAAACTAAAAGCAAGTAAGCACCGGGCAGGAGTGTGAGACACATGCTCCTAGGAACGGCGTAGGCACTGTCGAGGGCAACAGTTTTACTTCTTTCCTGGAGCTTGTATTATCTATCATTAAGGCTGGGAAGTAAGTGACTTCTGGGTTGTGTGAGCAGAATAGGATTAAGAAATTTAGGAGGCAGAAGGAAAACAGGAAAGATTAGCAACCACTCGAAGACGTAGCTGCAGAACGAGAAACCGGTAATCCAGACGGACAGAAGCAGTGTTTAATGTTATTCCTTCTCCCGGGGGTCTGCTGGGGCGGCTTTTATGAAGACCATGGCATCACCGACCTAGAGATTTGAAAACTCTGGCTTCCAGGCCTCCCCCTGCTGGGCTGTGGCTTACGGCATATTACACACGCCTTCTGACGTTCAGTTTTGTCATCTGTGAAATGGAGCTAAAGCTAACTGGCCTGTTTAATGAGAAATGGAGTCAGGTGGCCTGATGTGAAGAGTCAGGGGTACAAAGGCATTTGTAAACCTGTAAGGGACCAAACGAGCAGGAGGGATTATTACTACTGCTGTTGTTTTTCTTCACAGACACACCCAGCAGCCCCATCTGCCTCCTCACCTCCCAGGTCTTCTGCGCACGCCCCAGTCTGAGCTCCCAACCCAAGCACATGTGTCTTCAGCCCACGTCCTTGTCACCCCTCCAAACCCAATTTCATCCTTGTCGGTTTTTCCGAAGCAGGATTTGCAACAAATGGAGTGTTTTCTTAAATATTTGTTTTGCAGGCCATTTGCTTGGCATGGCTATATTTACAGTGCATAAGGAGCAAGGCTAAAAATACCTTCGCAGTTAACCAGATCAGTTCTGCATTTGACATTTACGTGACATTCATTTGCATCTCATTTGTTCGCCTTTCTGTTGAACAGGTAGAATGTAAGAAAGCTCAGCCTAAGGAAGTCATGTTCCCACCGGGGACAAGAGGCCGGGCCCGGGGACTGCCTTACACCATGGACGCATTCATGCTTGGCATGGGAATGCTAGGTGAGTCCGGGCGGGACCCTGGGGACACTGCAGAGCTACCATGCACTGGGGGTGACGGAGGCCTAGACACCCAACTGGGTCACCTACCAGTTGGGCAAGCTGCCTTTCTGACTCTCAGATGATAAACCCCTTTGCAAGGTAGTTGTGACCATTACAAAGATAGATAGATAGACAGATAGATAGATAAATGATAGATAGATAAATGATAGATAGATAGATAGATAGATAGATAGATAGATAGATAGATAATCATCTTGTCCCATGCCTGGCTCATAGGGGGTACTTGATATTATTTTATCTCCTCTCTAGTCCCTTCTTCGGGAGGAGAAAAAGGCAGCCCTCTGCCTCACACCTCTCTCCTGGCGGGGTGTTCTGAAAGACCTGAGGACTCCTGACTGGCTTCACCCATGTGGGCTGAGGCTCCATTTTCTAAAACTTGGGAGAGGAGAGGAAGTAAAGAGGGTGGGCTATAATCCTGTCTATTTAAATGATTAACATTTTTCTCTCGGGATATCAGAATTTGCATTTAAATGGATGTTTTAAATGGCCTGTTTTACTCTTTATTTGCCAAAAAAAAAAAAAAAGATGAAAGACAAAGTGTGTTTTGTTCTGACGAAAAATGATCTCTCCTGGCTTTTAGAGGAATTAAGTTGCATATTATGCCCCTTCCTTAAATGTATCTCTGTCCATCCTGCGTAGATAATTGAAAATCTTGCCACTGAAATGGCATGAAAAATGGAGAAAGCAGAGAAGAGGCGTAATGGTGTGGGTCGCAACAATAATTAGAAATTTCAAGGCGGGAGAGCGGTATTTTAGTGCGAGTTATTGTGTGTCGGGAAAATACTAATTAAATGGGATAAATGGTAGTTAATGGTAAAATTCCATTCAGGCACATGATCTGTCTGGTTTTAATGGATTTTCATTCGGTTTGGCGATGAGTCCCTCTTCTATATTGTTTGATCAGCTCTTTTATGTATTTTCAGATTCGCAGTTCTTTAAATCATTCCTGGCTCCATTTGAAATGTATGAAACTTTTCTTGGTGTTACACGTTCTTAAAAAGAATCGTATCTATTTTGTCTGAGGAAATAACAAGGGCCAGTAAAGTTAGTTTGAGGAACTTTGAGAAATGGAAAGAGATGCCACGAGAATCCTAAAAGTGGCGGAAATATTACTTCTTCTGGAATTAATGTTTTAGGTTTAATTGAGTTTCGTTGGAAATTCCTATTTACTTCTTTAAGCATTGGCCAAATGATTCTAACGCTGATCTGGAAGCAGAAACACATGAGAATAGATAAGAAAATGTTTTCAAAAGAAAAAGGAGAAAAGACTAGTTTGACCAGATGCAGAACACGGCACAAAGCTACAGTAATGAAATAGTGTGGTACATAGGAATGCACCTGTTGGGAGAAAAAGTGAAGGCACCTAAACTAAACGTATTTCTGTGTAAGAGTGTAATTATTATAAAGAAGTTACTTTTAAAAATCAGTGGGAGGGTGTCTGACTCTTAATTTCGGCTCAGGTCATGATCTCAGGGTCGTGAGATCGAGCCCCACGTCAGGCTCTGCACTGAGCGTGGAGCCTGCTTGAGATTCTCTCTCTCCCTCTCCCCCTCCCCCAACCCCTGCTTATGCTCTCTCTAATAAAATAAAGTAAATAAAAATGAGTGGGAATTGGGTGCCTGGGTGGCTCAATTGGTTAAGCGACTGCCTTCGACTTAGGTCATGATCCTGGAGTCCCGGGTTCGAGTCCCGCATCGGGCTCCCTGCTGAGCAGGGAGTGTGCTTCTCCCTCTGACCCTCCCCCCTCTCATGCTCTCTCTATCTCATTCTGTCTCTCAAATAAATAAATAAAATATTTAAAAAAAAAATCAGTGGGAATTATCTCCTGATTGACTATGAGACACTTGTGTACCCCTTGCTTCAAAAGTAATTTGTATGTGGTCTTTACCATATGTTATATACCAAGAGAAGTTCCAAATGAATTAATAGTTGTAAATTCTTAAAATCAAATTTTAAAAGAGTTGCCTCCTGCCGGTTTTTGGAGTCTTGAATTTTAAACGGTGAGTATAAAGATCCCGGGACATAAAATGGGAACCTTCTAAGGATCAGATCTTCAGGAAGTGCCGCTGCCTTTAGGAGTCTAACTTGATGCCCTTGGCAGGCTGGGAAGAATGACCTGTTTTCTTCAGGGGGAAGCAGAGGTATACAGCGAAGCCAGCTCGTTCATGTCAGTTGCCAGAGAGCAAAGGTGCAGCAGTTCTGTTCGCCCCAGACTGCAAGCAAGGGCCGGGGGCCCACATCTCTACAGACACCCAAGCTCGGATCCCTGAACAGAGGGCACCCAGTGGTTTCATAATGGGAGCCAAGGCAGGGCGGCTTTGTTGAATGCAGGAGGTGCTCACCGGCAGTTGGCTTTGAGCACCTGCTTGCTGCGTGCGTGCCCTGCCCTGGGCTGGCACGGGGAGACAGTGCTTGACAAGGCGGATGTGGTCCCTGCCCTCTGGAGCTTGTGGTCTAGTGAGTGTGATAACAGCTAACAGCTAATCCTACAGATAGCTAGTTAGTCATAATAGAGTTTGGGGGTGCTTTAAGAGCGCATCATGAAGAGTGGAAATTAGACTGAGGAATCAGGGAATACCTCCCTGAGGAGGTGACCTGTCCGCCACGCTAAGAAGGATGCCCAAGCGCAGAGTGATCCAGGCAGGACTAGCCTTGGAAGGCGAGGATCCTAGTGGGGAACGCTGAGAGCCCCCTGGCCTGGCTGAGGGGCCGGGCTCCCGCAGGGCGTGTGTGAGGAGGAGTGCTGGGCTCAGAGCCTCCAGGATGGGCTTGGACCCCGGCTGGTGGTAGGCAAACCCACGTGGTCCGTGTGTTTCTCCAGGTGCCATCCGGTTGGCTCCTGTTTATTGAGGGATGGGTATGTGATGAATGGCAGGTGCTTACTCCTCTGCCCCCGCTTTTTCCCTGTCTCTCATGGTTGAAGTCATGACTTCTCTGAGCTGCAGTAAGGAAGTAATTGTTGGTTAAAAATGTTGTGGTGACTCTGTTAGTTCCTGAGTGATAACCTCCCCCTCCCCCTCCCACTGACACCCCTGCTGCTTAAGGCTTTTGCCTTTGGCCCATGTAGCTCTGTTGAGACTGCCACCAGGCAGAACCCGCAGACCCCAGCCAGCCCCACTCATGTCCACAGAGGCTTTCCTCCTCCTCCGGTCAAGCAGAGAGCCCTTGAGATGGAATTGATGGTGTCAGGCCAGCTTCCCCCAAGGTAGGGGCTGAGTAAGCCAGTGGGTTGGGACTTCAGAACCAGGCGATCTGGATTCCTCGCCCCCTGAGCTGCATGACTTGGGACAGTTACCCCATCCTCAGATAGGGATGTGGGACACTCTCACTTCATGGGGCTGTTGAGGATCAATGAAACCATCTTATGCCTCGCCAGCGCTGTATTTCGTCAAATCCAAGGTGCTGTGGGTGGTGAAATGCATCTTTGTACAAACATTCAGAAAGAAAAATACAGATGCTGTTAATTAAACTGGACCAAGGCTTTCTTACCATGATGACTGTGAGATAGAGCTCCTTTCAGAGACGTTAAGATGTGAAAAAAATGTATGTCTTCTGATCAACAAAACACAGTAGGATATACTCAGACTGGGAGCTCTTCTTAGTAGAGCCGTGGGGAGCCCGAGGCATTCCCGCCCGAGCAAGTGCCCAACACCCTTCCGTGGGCCATCCCTTCCTGCCAGCGGCCAGGAACACAGCCGGACCTGCAGGTGTGGCTTGCACTGTGGCATCTGCCGCCTTCTCCATTGAGACCCCTAGCCCAAGGAGTTGGATCATCTTTGAGTTTCTGTGATCTGTGCGCTGGGCTCCAGGCCTCATCAGCCGCCGGGCCTCCTGAGTCCCCAGCCACGGTGGTGAGGTCCTTCAGGCACCTGCTGAGACAGGCCTCCTGAGAGCTCCCAAAATATGCCCCCAGCCAGGAACCAGCGCAGCCCGAGGTCCAGGCAGAGAAGGGGTGAAGCGGGCACAGCACGCAGGGAACCCAGCACACAGTCTCAAGGCCTGGCTGGCCTCTCACCTCCTCAGCCAGACTGGAGACCCCTGACGCTGCCCTCGGCTTCTCCCATTGGCAGAGCCTGGCATCCTGGGCCTCTAGATACTCTGGGCGAGTAGAGTGCCATCTGCTATGATGAGACCGAAGGCCTTGCTTCTTGCTTCTTCCCTCTAAAGTGGTCGCACTGAGCAGCATCTGATCCTTTGCTAGGTTGGGGATGGCCTGACATGTCCCCACAAGTCACCTGGGTCACCCCGTCCGTGGTGCATATCTGTCCTGGAATCGCCACCATCACCCGTCACCTGTCCATGTCATCACCGCGATCATCATCAGCCACAGTTTGGTTGATGAACTCGGCGCAGAACAACGTTTGTTAAAAGTTCATTAATGAAATAAAGGTTTAGTGCTGTAAATTTTTGTTGTCGGAAGAGCAGAAAAATGTCTAACACTTGGACAGGCTTTTCGAAGTGAGACTATACACCATTAAAGTTTTTCAGTCCATTCTCACAACAAGTATTTCCCAAGCACCTACTAATGGCCAGGCACTGTTCTAGGCGCTGAGGATGCCTCAGAGCATCTCAGGGAGCTGACGTTCTAGTGAGACAGCAGATACGCTGGTCTGTAAATGACTTGGAAACTGTGAAACTAATTTTTAAATATCCCTTAAGATTTTTTCCATACTTTGGGGAGGTCTCGTCAAAGGGAGGCTGACGAGCGTATAGTTACACAGTTATGTTTGCTTGATCTCTCTTGATGTGGCTGCATCCATCCTTGGGAGGAAACCTACAGCTGTTTTGGTTTTAGCTTTCACAGCCTTTGACAGAGTCATAGAATAATAAGCCCACTTGGGAATTCCTTAAAAAAGAATGTAGGAGAGAAGAGGAGGGGGTCTCCTCAGACCAGCTCTCCTTACCTTTGAGCTAAACAAAACGAAAATCAGCGAAGACCCTTGGAAAGGTCTTTCTGCAGCCCTTCAGACTTCGTTCTGCTGTCTCGTGCCCTAGACTCTCTGTTTTTTCTTCATGAAAGTGGACTCAATAAAAACAAATGTGATTATTGTTGATATATTTTATTCCTTTTGGCCTACTCTGCCCTCAGCCACTTAATCCTACTGCCTCTGTCTTGACCTGGCTGGGCACACACTACTGAACACGCTTGATACCACTGGTAGAGAAATACCTCATTGCTGAGGCCTTGAAGGAGAGCTTCGCCCCGCGGGCCTGGAAATAGTGCGACTCTGTAGACCCGCTGAAGAAAGCCTGAGGCATTCTTACCAGTGCTCCTACTGAGAAGTCCATGTGAAGTCTTGACCCAGTGTTTCCCGACACTAAACCCCTCTGAAATGAAAGCAAATTAAAAAAAAAAAAACCATCTAGAAGAGATGAGGATCTATAATCTGCTGGTGTGCACTAACAGATCAAAAGGAGATTGGCTGATATGTAGAGCTGCATGTCTAGACTCATTTGTAATTTCAACGGAGATTTGTCTTTCCCCAAAATATCTGTTGAGGTCGTTCCCAAGGAGGTCTCCCATTTGTTCAGCTGTTTCCTGGTGGACAGAGGAAACTCAAAATTCAGCTCTTCAGTTTCCTTCTAGGACAACACAGTGCACCAGAACTTTCTGTGGTGGTAGAAGGGTCCTCTGTCTGTGCTGCCCAAGGTGGTAGCCACTAGCTAATGTGGCTACTGAGCATTTAAGATGTGGCTCATACTACTGAGGAACTGGGGTTTTCATCATAGTTTAGACTTAAATTTAAATTGGGCAACATAAGCCTAAAGATGCTCCTGTGGCTCGCAATGACTCTGGGGTCCGAGCATCTGAGTGGACTTTGGCCTTCACGTCCCAGCCTGGGAAGGGCTCTGGGCACTAGGTGTTACATCTGGATGCATCCCTCATGGAGCCAACATGGCGCACCGGGCAATGCTCTGCATACCACGTGGCATATATGTCACACTCTGGCAGGTCCCTGGATAAACAGCCCTTGTCTCTTGTCCTTTCAAGTCGGGGGCCTGGTGGGAGCAATTTTCCATGACTGAGTAGCTGAGTCACAGAGCCCGGGAGAGGATGAGTCATGTGCCCACCTAGAATGCAAACATGTTTCAGGGTTAGAGCCAGCATCTCCTAGAGTTGGAGCAAAGATCGAGAACCACGATTCTGAGAACTCTGCCAGCATCCCCAAAAGGGGGCCCTGAAATGATCGGACTGGCAAATTTGAGTTGTTGTTGATTTCTGAGTTCCTTTTTTTTTTCCCACAACGGAAAGCCTATCTGCCAGAAAGGTGGTCATCCAGGCAGCAGACTTAGTTTTTCCTTTAGTGACAAGAGATAATTACTGTGGGATTGATCAGGCGTCCAGAGTACTGGAGCACATAAATTGGGCAGTGGCCAGTCCGGGCGGGGCCCAGCTACTAATGGAAGCGGCGGCTGGGTCATCTCACTGTAATATGGCTTGATGGAGCATTCACATCGGTCTGCTGTAATGTGCTATTGATATGCAGCCAGCCAATTTCCCTGTGTGGCTGGGGCTGGGAGCCGTTGGAGCAGAGCTGGGCTGCACAGCAGTAAATGAAGAGGAAAATTGAAGTAATGTTGTATTATAAATTTATGATTTCATCTGCCTGACCCAGAGGATGTTCGTGATGGGGGCTGGAGATCAGATCCCCCACTCCGGCAGATGCCAAATTCTCGTCTTTGTTGTGCAGGAGACAATATTGACATGTCCAGGAAGATTGGGGTGAGGCCCCAAATTGGGGTGAACTCGACCATGCTTGTCTTCCTTCTTGTCGAAGACTGTCATGTGTGCCAGGAAGAAGGTGGCCGGAGTCAGGGAGGGGCTGGGCGTCCCACCCGCTCTCCACCCCACCTGCCGGCGAGGGAGGCTTGAAGGTGACACATGGGCCTACACTTCTGCTGTCAGATTAAAATATTTCAGACCCCTAGTGCTGAAGTTAGAAGCAAAGGAGTCATTTTTCACCAGGAAAGGCCCTAGGCAGCTGTGATTTGGCTGTTTGCATATAATCCGTTTATCAATAGTGTTGAAATAATGGTTTAAGAAATCTAGTCATGAGAGATCTGATTTGAGAGTGGGTGATTAATTCAGAAGAGAACTGAGCTGGCCAGCCATGAAATAAATACCAAGGGAGAAGCCAGTGTGCGTGCATCCACTTAAGACCTCTTGGGCTCCCTGCTTCCTCTCCGTCCCTCTGTCCCTTTCTTTCCCCACCGGGGGGCCAGAGCTGAGCATCACCCTTGGATAGCCTGCTCCTCAGCAGTCAGAGCAAAGCCGTGCGGTCATCCTGCTTGTGTGGGCAGCCCTGTGCCAGGGAGACCCCGAGCACCGGGAGATCAGCGCACCCGGAAGAAGCAGGCGCAGGGCACTTTTGACGAGGAAACGGGTCAGTCGGCCAGTGAGTTGTGACTGCACGTTTAGAAAGGCTCTGGCCAAATGGGAAGGGAAGGGAGCCACGGGGAGTCTCAGTCGAGAATGCTGTAAGGGACCCACAGAGCTTTGTACAGATGGCAAGACTCAAGCTGTCAGAGGACGAGGAAGACCCCCCACCAAAGGGCATGGCCTTGGGCCAGAGGCAAGCCTGGACCCCAAGACTCCTGACACCCACAAGAGCAAGCCTCTCTTCTCGGTCCAATGACAGATCCACTGGTCAAGCGGAGGCTGTGACACAAACACACATGGGCAGGTGAGGAAAGGTGGGTCCCATCTCTGGGCCTCTAAGGCATACGAGCTCTATGAACAGGCAGCAGGAAGACCTGCCAACGCGAACACACAATGCCCAAGGGCACCCGAGATGGAACTGCGTGAATGATCCTGTTCCTTTAGCCCTTACCACAGGTCAGAAAATGCTTGCGATGTACCCACGTGCGCTCGGGACGCGGGTGATGAGACCCCAGAGCCCATATTTGGGGGGTGTCTGTGGCTGTCTCGAGCTGCTGCCCTGGTGGCTGGAGCGCAGGAAGACTCTGACAGACCCCACCCATCAAAGCCACTCTCTACCAGCATCTTGGTGGCAAGCCACGGAAACAACTCTGGCTGCTGCAAGCCAAAAAGGAGATGATTGGAAGGGGCTCGTCAGCGCACAGAGTTGCGAAGAAGGCTGGAGAATAGGCAATAACTGGGGAGGTGGGTGGTCGGCCACAGCCGTGACCCAGGGACAACCTAGGAATGACCTGGCCGAGGGGGGTCCCCTGTTGCCACCACTGTGTGCTGGGCTCATGCTAAAGGCACCAGAATAAATTCTGAATCACTGTCTCCTCCTCTGCCCCACTAGCCTCAGCAGTGGATCCAAGGAGGACTTCCCTGGGCCAAACCCAGGTTCACAACCTGTTTTCCCGCTGCCTGGCTCAGAGAGAGCAGGAGGGGGCCCTCTTCTGCTTCCAGGATGGGAGGCAGTCCTCTCTCTAAGACTCAAACTCAGAGAAGGGATTCAGGGATTGGGCAGCCAAGAAACAACCACAAATATCCACCTCGGAAGTCAAAGCAGAAGTCCAGCTGTTGGTGGTGGTTGGGTGGTTGGTGATAGTGGTGGCGGGAGGTTGGCCGTGGAGGTATGTGAAGAGCATGAATGTACTGGGACTCCCACACATCGAGTGGACAGAGGCAACGTGAGCCTGGTGGGATGGGAACAAGGGGGACCCATGGGTCCCCTGGGGCTGGCAGAATCGGTCCAAGAGGGCTACACACCGGCCTTCTCTGTCACCTGAGCCAAGAGGCAGGGACATAAATGGTGAAGTAGCCTGAGCGAGCACAATGCAGGGTTGAGAGCCAAGGGACTGCTCACTGGGGGTTTCATACTAGATCACAGCGGGCCACACCAGGAGCAGAACATGCCAGAGTTTCCTCATGCCCAGCGCAGCAGCCATTTCCACAGGCAGCCCACGGTTAACGGATCACCCCCTGGGTTATCTGCTGAGATCATGTGGAAAATACGCTCGCTGTGAAGCGCCCGTTAGTTACAATGTGTGGCGTGAGGCTTCTGGGTTTGGGCCATGCTTCCTGGAGCACATTTTAACCCAAGCAGTCCCTTGTTGCCGGGGCGGGGGGGGGGGGGGGGGCTTGGGAAGATGCTGGCACCCTGTGGAGTACCTGTGCTTGGACGCAGGCCCCCCCGGGACCCTGCCTCCCCTGGGCCGGGGCTCATTAAGCCCAGTGGTTTTCTACAGGCGCAAGGTCAGCCCTGAGTTTTGCCCCACAACTCTGACCCCTGAGTGCTCCCGCTTTGTCTGCTGCGGGCACCTCTGTCTGCTGCCTCGGGAGGAGGCATTACAAGGACTTTAATCTCCTACTGTCAATAGCTTTAAGGTAAAGTACATTCAGAGTAAGCTCTCCAAATGTCAGAGCCAGGCACAGGCCCTCTGTTTGGTGCTAACGCGTGGCATTTACTCTGCAGGTTCCAGAAAGTGCGTGGGCTTTGGGGGTCTCTCTGCCCAAATATAGGTTAATTACCAGCAGGCTGACAGCAGTGCCCCCAGCCACAGGAGAGAGGGGACCCGAGCCCTGGGTAAAGACCCTCACGGGAGACGAATCATTTTGTGCGGGAAAATAACCCAGGCTGTCCTCATTTCTGCCCTCCCTGGGATTTCACCCCAGGGCTGAGGCAGCAGCTGTACTAATGCCCCTGTGATCTTTCTCTCTGTGTTCAAGGCTACCCCAACTTCGTGGCAACCTATGGCCGCGGCTACCCTGGATTTGCTCCTAGCTATGGCTATCAGTTCCCAGGTGAGTGTCTTTGTCTCCCGGGGCTTTGGAAGCACAGGAGGTGGGCTGCATTGGAGGGGAGGCGGGAGGATCCCTAAAGAGAACACAGCTCGTACACATATGCATTCAGAAATGACCTGTAGGTGCCGAAGTTCAAATCCACTGAACTCCAGGGGCAGGATGCAGCTCAATGTCTGATTAACCGAAGTACCGCCTCGGTGCCGGGTATTTGAGAGTGGCAGCTTTCGGGGGAAGGGAAAGAGCTGAGTCAGGAGCCCTCCCTCTGCCCACCCTTCTTTGTCTGGAGCCTGTTAACAGGTTCTCTCGCTGGACTGGACTCGTACCCTCTGCTTTCCTCACCCCCCGTCTCCCTCCCACCTACCCACCTTCCTGTCTTCCTCCCTCCCCTCCTCCAGCTCTGCCTGGCGGCCCTGGCTTCGACGCCCTTCTGTGTGTAACTGTGGTGTGCCGTTGGGGTTTGGGTTTGCTGTCCTGGGTCAGGGTGTAGATTCACCCTCCCCTGCATGTAGGCGTCAGAGACTCGAGGCAGAGCCCGCAATAATGCCCACTTTCGTGCTCAGGCTGCCGCAGCTCCCACATAGCTGGGGGTCCTGGGACCCCCACCTGAGGTGGCAGCAAGGGCAGGCATGGTCTTACAGGGGTGGGGGGGAAGGGTGCTGAAGGAAGCAATGTTGATAGGGCTTTACTTGTCCCCTGAAGGGGTAAGTCAGCCTTTCCCAAACATGGAGTATACAGACAAGAATATATCAGGGTGCAGGGGTGCTTGGGGGTGTGTGTGTACAGAGGACAGCTGGAGTTTCTAGAAAAGGCATTAGGAATGGAGTTTTGTCCTCTTGGGTTCTCTGCTGAGGAAGGAGGCTCCCTCGGAAGCTGGGCTTCCAGCAGTTTCATTCCTGGTTGGTCATCCTGCCTGGACCCAGAGGCCTTGGAGGCCCAGGGAGCATAGGCATGGCCCTTAGAGGATCCTGTCCTGAAGCCAGGGAGGAGGGCCGGGGAGAGGTGCGTGAGGGTCTCACCCAGTGTTTGCACACCTCCGACTGAGTGTTGGGGTGGGGTAAGGGTGACTCAGCAGGAGGCCAGGAAGCATTTGGGGCACTTAGAGCCATGCCTGGTGGGGGACAGATCCTCCATCAGCGACGGAAGCCCCAGGCTCTTTCCCATGGCCACAGCAGGTCACCCAGTATCTCTGGGCCTCTTCTCTGTCTTCTGTAAACAGGGGGTTTGGGCAGGATAGTCCCTGGGGTCTGTGCACCCTTCCGATTGTGGGGGTGAGGGGTAGGGGAGGCAGGTGCAGTAGCAGCTGTTCCAGATGGGGGAGTGTGAGTGGGGGAGACTCCGCCATGAGCGTGTCCCCCGGGGCCAGGGTCTGCATGGCGGCGGGGGGGAGGTGGCTCTTGAAGCAGGGCAGTGGGCGCTACAACCAGAGAAGTCTGCCCCTCCAGTAGGTTTTCCCATGTACAGATGGGGACCCCAAGGCCTAGAGAGGTAGAAAACCCTGTTCCAGGGCTCATTAGCAGCAAGGAGCAGGGCTGCGATTTAGACCCAGGTGGTCTGGCTCTTAACTCCCATGTTCCTCTCTTTAGCGTCTGTCCAGGACGATCCCACTAACCGCACATAGCTACTATAATTTAGATTTAAATGAAACTGAAGTAAAATGAGAATTCCAGTTTCTCCGTCACACTAGCCACGCTTCACTTAGCAGCCACATGTGGCTAGTGGCTACTGTTAGCACAGCCTGTAGAACATTTCTACAAAAGTTCTGTTGGAAGGCACCATTCTGGAGCATAAAGAGGTGGGGGGGCGCACGGTCCACACACATACGTGCACGCACACGCACTGTCCCTCCCAGGGAGGGCTCGCATGTCATCGTCCCTATTCATTTCTTGCCCGTCCTCCTCAGCCCAGAAGCTGGTGGTAGTTTTAGGAAAGCCTTTCACCTCCTTCCCTCCCCTGGCTTCCTCACCAGGGTACAAGAAGACATACAGGCTCCCGTCCTGCCTCGCTGAGAGCACCATGCCGCTCTGCACACCTGGTGTGGCTTGCCTGCCTTCACAATCAGGTTGCCATTGCCCCCTCAGTGCAGTACTAGTCCCAGGCAGGGAGAGTTGGGGGATCCTAGCATGGAATAATTTGGGGGGGTGACAAAATGGATTCCATGCTAAGGGCTCTGTCTCAGGGGTCTGTGTTTTAGGATCTGTCCTCAGCAGACATGTATGCAAGACAGAGATACAAAAGTGACCGACCAAGGCTGGGGAGGATGAGATAGTCTCCCAGCTGTGCCCAGCCCTTCAGCTTTAGCCAAGGCTTTGGGAACAGAGCGGGAATGTGAGGGACCTGATGTGGGCTAGGAGTGACCGTGTCCAGGGTCTGTCTGTCATGGTCACTAGCTCCTGCAGCTCAACGAAGTCAGCTGGATTTGATTAGGGCAGGAATGGGGCGTTAAAATGTCTGGACAGGGGCTCCCTGACCCGTGGGACATGGCTGTTCTCTCCTCCCCCAGCCATCAGATTCTCCATTCCCCATCCTTCCAGTTCTCACCTTGAAGGTCTCTGTATGTCCTCACCGATGGCCACAAAGAGGCTGTCCGTGGCCACAAGAGTGAGGCCACGTGCTGTTAGGGAGGGTCAGTGTGTGGAGTAGCCCCAGGCCGTGAAGGGGGTGGCCCAGTGGCTGGACCTGGCTGCCACTCTGTCCGCTGTCCCCAAGCAGTCCCCCATGGTGTTCCAGTCAGGAGCTCATGACGTGGTGGCTCCCCTCAAAAACCAAACTTGACCCTGCCTGGAGCCTCCAGCCCAGGCCAGGGTCTCTGAGTCAGGGGAGCTTTGGAACATTCTGACATCCATCTCTTGCCCCGTGCCAATAAGGAGTGTTTGGAGGGTCTGGTGAGGAGGAGGTTGGGGTGGAGAGGGACGGCCCGGCAGAGGGTGGCCCAAATCTGCCCTCTGCTCACCCTGTCCGGTTGACTTCTCCCTGCACCCTGGGGTCCTATGAGCCAGTGACATCCACACAGCTGTCCCCACCAAACTGCCCTGAGGTTTCTGCTTTGTGATCTTTCTTTTCCGTGTCCTCACCATGTACCACTTCACCCACGTCCCACCTCCAGTCTCTCACAGTGTGTGTGTGGACGCCGCACCCCTCCCAGCCCCTCTCTGGACCCATCTTAGTGGGGCAGTGTGAGCACTAGCCAGGACGCCCCCGAGAGCTGCTAAGGTTCTTCATCCTGTGTGTGTTCACTCACAGACCATATACCCGGGGTCCCCTGTCAGGACACAGGGCCCTGCGTTTCCCCTGCGCAGGCCCTCTCTGTGAATACCCACCTCCTCTCCTGGGCCGTACAGCTGAGGGAAACCAGTGCCCACCTCTGCCCACCTTTAGGGTTCTATGCGATTAAATGAGATGCTCCAATAAAGAGGGCTCGACGTCTATGGATAATTGTTAGAGTGAGGAGTAGTTCTTTTCTAGAAAGATTGAGGGATGACCCACCACTTACGGAAGTGGTTCCTTCTTCCCAGGCCCAGGTGTCCACTGCGTGCACCCCCACCCTGACCGCCCCCCAGGATCAATACTGGGGCTCAAATAATTATGATCCTCCTGTTTCCTCTCTTTCCCCCCACCCCCGGACTCATTTCAGTTTAATCTGTTAATTTCTGTTCTTATTTCACTTTGCAGACTATTTGCCGATTTCACAAGACATAATTTTTATCAACTAGCTCTTAAGAGAGGCATAACACATTGGGGTTTGCTACCATTACAGTCCCGGCCGGGGCCACCCCAGCTGCTCCCAGTGTCCACTGAGCCTGTCCTAGCTGCCTGTTTGAACGAATGTTCTTTTTCTCATTTTTAATTCTTGGAAAAGACTCATGTCCTCATTGCTTCACTCAATTTAAAAAAAATTTTTTTTTCCTTCTACAGTCCCCTCCCATTTTGCTTCTTGTACACACTGTGGACGTCCCCCCGCCCCACCCCACCCCACCCCCACCTGGAATGTAACGGGGCCAGAGGGAAACTTCTCACAAACTTTGTAGAGCCTCCTCAGGGGAATCCAGGAAACAGACATCAGATTATTTTAAATAGCGACCAAATAAGCTTCTTGGGGCATTTCATGGAGTGAGCTTTTAGCGCTGGTGGCCCACAGGCGTTGGGGATGTGTGACTTGGAGCACCTGTGTCCTGTGGTGGACAGTACCAACAGTGAACGAACACACACACACACACACGCACGCGCGTGCACACACACACACACCTGTTCTGTAAATACTAATGTGAAAAACGTCATCTGGAAGAAAAACTATATCTGGAAAACCATCATGATCTGGTTATGTTTGTGTTTGGGGGCCAGTCCCTCCATGGCCGTTAACCATAATAATGAGTACACGTGACCTTGAGAAGGGCCGGTGTCGTTACTGGGGCACTGCTACATCTCGGGCACCGGGGCCACAGACCCACGCCAGGCCTCTCCTTCCCCAGCACCCCGTCCACACTGGCCTTGCAGTCACTGCTGGGATCAGGGCCTCTGGGCCCGCCAGGGTAGCAGGGGACAGAACACACGGGGCCAATCCGGATCGGGCTGGCACCCCCGATGATCAGTCACTCTGAGAAGGGCTTGCTTTTCCCATGGTCCCAAGCCCCTCCACTCCCCCGTTTGAAATAGCCCCACGGGCTTGGATTCATGAAGTACAGCTCAGCAGCCACCCCCTTGTTTACGTTCATAGTTTGTGAGAAGTGACCCGCGTGCTTCCACTGGATGCATTTGATGTGAGCAAATCCATCTGTTCGAATGTCACTGTCCTTGAGACCCAACCAGTGTGGTTTTGCTCATCTCATTAAAGATGCTTGATGTAATCATTGGTTAGTTTCCTGTTATTTTCCCGCAGGCTTTTTCATGAGTGCTATTTTTTTTTTAACAATTCTTTATGGCTACCCCCCCACCCCCACTTTTATTTTGTTCTGCTATGAATTGCTTAGCTTTGGCGAACTTGTCCTAGTATGCTCACCTCACCC